TCTGCGTCTGTGAAGTGGGAGCCCCCAGGCCTGTCCTCCCCCCACCCGCCTGTCGTCTCGTCTCGGCTTTCAGGGTGCAGAGTGGACACTCCCAGGTGTCCAAGCCGGCGAGCTCGGGTCCCGCAGAGCCGGCGGCCCTGGAGACGCTCCGAGGGCAGCCCCACTGCAGCCCTGCTCGGGTCCCCTAGCCCGGGGCCTCCGCAAACCAGCTCACCGCGGGCCGCCGAGCCCCGCTCCAGGATCCGCGGGTTGCCTCCATCCCGGAGGAGTATGAAGAGAATTAAATCTAGATATTTACATGTTTAATGGTCAAAGGAGCCTGTCTTCCGGCAGGGCAGGGAGGGCGCTCAGGCGGTTTAACTCAGCTCCGGGATCCCGCTCAGTTGCGGGGACCGCGAACCCCGCCGCGGGGCCGACGATTGGGCCCCTTCGGAGCGCGGCGCCTAACGCGGGTTTCGTTGCGTCGGGGAAGTCCGAGCCTGCAGCGCCCAGGCCCCAGGCGGTCAGCCTAGCCCGGGAGGGGGGCGTTCTCCAGGCCCCCAACCCCTGATCCAGGCCGTTCCCCTCCCGCGCACCCTCCTGGGGGCTGCAGCCCGCGCCCCTCGCCGCCAAGCCCCATTTTCCCAAACTGCAGCAAACGAACTGGTTTTCTCCTGAGCGCACGCTGCGGGGAGACGATTCCAACGGAGCCCAGTGAGGAGGGGTCCAAGCCTGTGAGGGGGGGCACGTTCCTGTCCCCAGACCCCTCCCGCTGCACCTCAGCCCCCAGCCTGGCTCTGTGACCTGCACCGGTCGGGCCGGGCGCAGAGGAAGCAAAGCAAGCGGAGTTCGCGAGAGGAGAGCAGCCAGATCTCCCGCCTAAGCCCGGACCCTTCCCCTCCCCTCGGGCGCCCTCGGATGCTCCCGCCCCAGGGTGTTACTTTCTAGATAGGGAAACTGAGGCGCGGCCCGGGCGATGCGACCGAAGTCCTGCGCCCGGCGTCTCCCGCGCCTGCCCGCCAGAGCCCCAAGAAGGGGGCATGGAATTCCCTCCTCTAATTGTGTCCCAGAACTCCGGGACGACGGAGGCCAAGCTGCTGAGGGAGAGGACGAGGACGCGGGGCCCCAGAGACCACCCCCTCCGCTCCCCGGCCAAACGCGGCCGCCCAGCCCCGGTGCCCCGGCGCAAACAAGCGCAGTGTTTGCCGAGCGCGAGGCGGGCGGCGCGGCCCGAGAGCGATGAGGATTCGATGGAGCCTCTTGCCGCGGCGGGGGCCACGGAGCCCGGGCGGGCGCGGGGATCGATCGGGCACAGCTGTTGCCGAAGAGCCCGCGGGAGCGTCCACCCGCGGGCCAGAGCTGCCCGGGCGCCCCGCAACTGGGGGCAGGAAATCCGGGACGTCGGGCCCGCCAGGGGCGAAACCCCAAAGTCGCGCCCAGGGTGGGGAGCTCAGGACGTCCCCACGGCCAACGTGGAACCTTCGGGAGCTGCGCGCTCAGCCCTGCCGGGACCCCAGCCAGGCCGAAAAAGCCCAGAGTCTCCCCCCAAATCTAAATAAAAATCTCCGGACCCCGCCCGAACGAAGGCGGCTGGAGTCCAGAGGGAGAACTCCTGCCACACACTAGGCGCCGGAGGCCGGGATTCGGGGCGCCGGCAGGTTTCGGGGGCCGGGAGTGGGAGAAGGGCGGATCTAGGGCTGGGGCTGGGCTTGGGTGGGGCGGGCATTCATTGCCATCATTTAGTAAAACCTCGCTTTAATAAAAGCAGGGAGGGGTGCGCAGAGCCCTGACGCTTTCATTTCGGTAGGAGACAAATCGAATCAGAAAGTCAGTTGGGGGCGCACCGTGGAGGGTTCTGGGGGAGCCCCAGGAAAGGAAAACTTGAGGTATCTAACTCTGCCTTTGATATTTTTAGCTGCAATGGGAGAGTCAATCACAACCGGGAAGGTAGTGGGTGCAAAAGTGGGGGAGGGGTGGAGGATTAAAGAGGGGGTTCAAGCTTAGGGGGTCGGTTTAGGGAGGTTGAAGCCATGGAGTGCGCACCCCTGGGGCGTGGGTGGAGCCCCCCAGTCCTCCCCTCCACCCGCGGGACTCTCCAAGCCCTGACTCTGGTGGGACCAGAGGCTGCCCTTTTTGACTCCTCCCAGAGGCAGGCCAGGCACAGAGAGGATGGGTGTTGGTCTGGGGCAGCCCAGCACCTGCTGAGGTCCCCCTCCCCCACTCCCAGGCACAGACTCAGGCTCTGGGAGCCAAACTTTAATTTTCCTGGAGGGGATACTGAGGCCAGAGAGCTTCCTCGAGGTGGCTGAGGTCCCTGTGGGGCAGGGAAGAGGGACATCTTGTCCCATCCAGCCCACCCCTCCCCCTGCCCACAATTTGCCTAATGACCCAGGATCGATCTGGGCCTGGGCAGCCGGCCTGCCCCGAGTCTGGCTCAATTCTATTGTACTAATTACTAAAAGGCCGCTGCTGATGGGGAGAAACAGGCTGGGGGCTCCAGGGGGCCACATTCCCTCTCTTGGGGCCAGCAAATTTCTGTTCAATCTCCCAGCAGGACCACAGCCCCTACAAGGAGTGAGATCCCCATCCCTGGGGGAGTCCAAGTCTCCATCAGCCTAAGAGAGGGGTGAGGGGCTTCGCAGATCTGGACAGGGTTAGGTCCACCAGGCTGGGCTGCCTCTTCCAAGTCTAGGGAGCTTTGAAACGGGTCTGTGGCCACCTTAGGGTGTCCTGAGGCAGCAGAGGCGAGAGGCCCCCTTCCTCTCAGAGTCCCTGACCCTCCTCTTCTCTTTCAAAATGGATGCTTTCCCTGCTAGAAAAGCCACACACGCTTGCTATTAAAATGAACACGATAATCAAGCTGTAGAAAATATATTAAAAAGGAAGCCGGCATAATCCCAGCTCCCTAGGAGCTCCCCCACATTGGCATTTGGGGGAACTTCCTTCCACCTTGGTATCCTCCCACCCATAGAGACCCCCAGCCCCCACCTGGTCTGCCCTTCCTTGAGCCTGGGATGCTAGCGTTTTATGGCGGCTGATTGATTTTTAGATCTCACGATTATTTTTAATTATCTGTGATTGTTGGAGGGTGAGATTGAGGAGCTCAGGCTGGGGCTCTGTGCGGCCCCTTTCCTCCCCACAGATTCAGCATCCACACAGGGAGTGGGGGACGCGACTGTTCGGACCTGCCCCTCTCTTCCCACCTGGAAGATGGGTGTAATTATGTAAACTCCAGAAATTATACCTGAACCCTGGAACTGGAAAGTTTAGGGACCGACATTTCAGGGGGCGGGAGTTAGCACTTGGGCTGATGTAGGAATGAAGCGGGGAGCTCTAGGGCCACTACTCCCCACCTTGGGCCAGAGACACCCAGAAAAATTATGATTTGACTTCCTCTTTTCTAGGGCTGAGTGAGGAGAGTATGCTAGGTAAACAGCAGGCACTTACTAAATGCTGAGCCCTAAGCAGCGAGTACTAACAGGGGTCCTCTTCAACTCTATCCCTCCCCAGAACTTGGATCAGGCCACTTCAGGCTGGGGACCCAGATTATTCAGGCCCCCTCTCTCTCTGGCTGTTGTGGTCAGCATAGAGCCGCCTCCAGCCCCAGCTGGGCAGGCTGGAGGGCAGCCCCTCCCACACCAGAGAAGGGGAAACTGAGGCACCGAAAGGACCCTGTTCCAGAGCCAAACCTAGTCTTGCTTCAGAAAATCGCATCTCCAATGTGTAGCCACGTCTACAGGGGCCAGGGAATCTGGACGCAGGTGCAAAGCTGGGGTTGCGGCTTGCCCAAAAGGTTTGTACCAAAGGGGAAGTGACGGCCTGACTGTGTCCTCCCCTCTTTCTTCAGCTTTGAGCCCTGATGCAACCCACTGACATGGGGGTAACTAGGGGCTCCCGCAAACCGAATGCCTGACCCATCCCTTTCATCCTCTAGCAAGTGCACAAGGGTTGGGGGGAGTCGGCGGGGCAGAGGCACTGGGGAAGCAGGAAGGGGTTGAGGCTGGTTTTTGGACTCTGCACCCACAAGACAGGGCATCCTCTAGGTTCTGGTCTGGCCCCTCCAGACCCCCAGCCCTGACCTTACCCCACTGGAGAGATCTAGTCCCCTGGGGGTCTCTCTGATTATAGGAGCCCTCCCGCCATCTATCCCAGTTCCCAGGGGTCCCTGGGCCTCACTCTCGCCATCTCCAGGTGGTGAGAAAAAGGAGACCCCTGCCTCCCCCCACACTGAGGAGAAGCCCCAGGGACAGAGAGGAGTTTGCACCAGGGACGTCTCAGAAGACAGGGGATCCAGACTCAGCCTCCATGGGCTGGAGGGTGACAGGAGCTCCGGCGGCGGCGGCACTGTAAAAAGGCCCTGCAATTAGAAGGGGCCTTTGGCAACCCGGAGGCTGGGTAGCCCATTGTACAGTTGGGGAAACGCAGGCCCAGGTGCCCACACATGGGCAGGTGCTGACCCTGGGGCGCACGGAGGCCCTGATCTAGCCTGAGGATCTCCCTTCTCCCCCACAAAGAGGTCGTGGGAAGGGGGCTGTGACTCCCGTAGGTGTGAGCGGGAGTCGCGGGGAGCTGAGCTTGCAGCGGGGATCTAGCTCCTGGGGGTCTGTAGGGAAGAGGGGACAAGTGCATCACAGGCGACCGTCCAGTCACACTCTCATAAACTGCCTGGAGATGGACTTGGGGGCGCCAGGCAGGAAAGCCACATTTGGGACTCTAGAGAGAATCACGCAGAGACGCGAAATCGGAGACTCAGGGTCGAGGTTCACAGTCCCACCAGGACAGAGTCTGTCCTCGGACCCCCGCCCGCTGTCCCCCAGGTACGGCCTGCCCCGGGCGGCGCGGGCAGGCGCAGTGGCCAGGGACGCCGAAGCCCCAAGTCTGGCCGACTTCGGCCTGTCTGGTGCTCGAGGGGGCCGGGGAGGGCGGAGAGCGAGGCTGCGGGAGGCAGCGGCGGCGGGAGCGGGTGGGCGGGGGCGCTGACGTCAGACCCGGGCCCGGGAGCCGGCGGCCGCTCCCCTGCCACATCCTGGTGGCCGCGCTCGCAGCCGGGCCGGGCCGTGCGCCGCGCAGCCGGGCAGCCTCGCGCGCAGCCACCGGGGAGCGGGCGGGAGTCATGCAGCAGCCTTGAGCACGAGGGGCCGGCGCTGAGGAGCGCGCGCGGCGGGAGGGCAGCCGAGCATGGAGCTGAGCCTGGAAAGCCTGGGGGGCCTGCACAGCGTGGCCCACGCGCAGGCGGGCGAGCTGCTGAGCCCGGGCCACGCGCGCTCGGCGGCGGCGCAGCACCGCGGCCTGGTGGCGCCCGGGCGCCCGGGCCTGGTGGCCGGCATGGCGAGCCTGCTGGACGGCGGCGGCGGCGGCGGCGGTGGGGGTGCCGGGGGCGCGGGCGGCGCGGGCAGCGCGGGCGGTGGCGCGGACTTCCGCGGGGAACTGGCGGGCCCGCTGCACCCGGCAATGGGCATGGCCTGCGAGGCTCCGGGCCTGGGCGGCACCTACACGACGCTCACGCCCCTGCAGCACCTGCCGCCGCTCGCCGCCGTAGCCGACAAGTTCCACCAGCACGCGGCGGCCGCGGCCGTGGCCGGGGCGCACGGCGGCCATCCCCACGCGCACCCGCACCCGGCGGCCGCGCCGCCCCCGCCACCCCCGCCGCAGCGTCTGGCTGCCAGCGTGAGCGGCAGCTTCACCCTCATGCGCGACGAACGGGCGGCGCTCGCCTCCGTGGGCCACCTCTACGGACCCTACGGCAAGGAGCTGCCCGCCATGGGGTCGCCGCTGTCGCCGCTGCCCAACGCGCTGCCGCCCGCGCTGCACGGCGCCCCGCAGCCCCCGCCGCCGCCTCCGCCTCCGCCGCTGGCCGCATACGGCGCGCCAGGCCACCTGGCCGGGGACAAGCTGCTGCCGCCTGCCGCCTTCGAGCCTCACGCCGCGCTGCTGGGACGCGCCGAGGACGCACTGGCCCGCGGGCTGCCCGGAGGCGGCGGTGGCACAGGCAGCGGCGGAGCGGGCAGCGGGAGCGCCGCGGGGCTGCTGGCGCCGCTGGGCGGGCTGGCGGCGGCCGGGGCGCACGGGCCGCACGGAGGAGGCGGCGGCCCCGGCGGGGGTGGCGGCGGCCCCAGCGCGGGCGCGGCGGCCGAGGAAATCAACACCAAGGAGGTGGCGCAGCGCATCACGGCGGAGCTGAAGCGCTACAGCATCCCGCAGGCAATCTTCGCGCAGCGGATCCTGTGTCGCTCGCAGGGCACGCTCTCTGACCTGCTGCGCAACCCCAAGCCGTGGAGCAAGCTCAAATCCGGCCGCGAGACCTTCCGCAGGATGTGGAAGTGGCTGCAGGAGCCAGAGTTCCAGCGCATGTCGGCGCTGCGCTTGGCAGGTAGGAGCGTGGCGCGCACGACCGGACCCTGGGGGAGCCGGCTGTGGACTCCCGAGCACCTAGCGGGGCGGCGGCCTGATGTCCGGGTCCAGCTCCCCAAGCCCCACCCTTGCGCCCCGGCAGCCCGGGACCCCCTCTCAGGAAGCTAGACTGCGATCCGCGCCGCTACCCGTTTGTACGGTTACCAGAAGGGAGAAAGGGATTGTGCCGCCTCCCCACACCCGGGTCGCTGCTCCTGCCCTTTCGGGAGCGCGTAGGGGTTCTCTAATCCTTGTTAGACTGCTGGGAGGCTCCGAGCCTCTCCCCAAGCAGCCTTCAGGAAAGCTCATTGTGTGTGTGTGTGTGTGTGTGTGTGTGTGTGTGTGTGTGTGCATGCGCGCGCGCCTGTTGGGGGGAGCTGTGTCCCCGAACGAGCTGCTGTCCGCTAAGATGCCACTCCCCTCCTCCAGAATGGGTGGAGAGGGGTACTGAGGCCCCAGCCCCGGGCCACAGAGCTCCGAGACCGTGCAGCGGGCGCCCGCAGCTCAGCAGCAGAGGCCGAGCCCGCGCTCATCCCCCCCTGCCCCAGCGCGCGCTTCTTTGTAGTTCGGCCCTGCGATCGATACCCCCTCCCTCTCCCCTCCGGCCGCTGGCAAAGGTCACCCGAGAATGGCGGGGGAGGGGCGGCCCGGGGGACCCTCGGCCCGCGCCGCCTGGAGGCCTTCACACCCCGAGCCGGCGCCCGCCCCGCGCAGTTTGGTGGTGGCTCGGGTGCGCGCACCCCTGCCCGCCTGGCTTTGGGGTTTTGTGTCTCTCATGTCCACTTCTCTCCTTTCTCGGTCGGAACACACTGGTATCTCTGTTTTTCTCTTGCTCTCCGTTTTGCTCTTGTTCCTGCTCATTCTCTCTTCTCCCTGTCTCTCCGCCTCTGTCTCTGTCTCATACTCAGCCACACTCCTCCCTCCTCCCTCCCAGCTGACAGCAGCTAAGTCCACACCTGCCCTCTGACAGGCAGCCCGGCCGGGCCCCCATTTCCTAGGTGGGGGTGTAGGAGTGCAGGAGAGCCCCTGGCCTAGGTGGGGGTTTCTTCCCCTGGTGGTGCTGGGGAGGGGGCTGCCCACCCGGGCCACAGGGACAATAGCCGCGGCGCCTGGCGCCTGATCGATCGCTCCTCTGAGCACAAGGGCGAGAAAGGCGGGGGTTCTGGGAGGCGCCCCACTTGCAAAGAGGCAGAGGGAGTTTGCAGCTGTGCCCCCAGGCAGCCCGTCCAGGCAGGGGGGCTGGGGAAAGAGTACAGCGGGGGTCCTGTCCTGTTCCTCCCTAGCAAGCCATTCCCTCCCTCCACCCCAGGAGGACCAGACAACCCCCTGGGAACCTGGACCAACAGGCCAGCCTCAGTTTCGCCCTTCTGCAGAGCAAGCAAGGTGGCTAGCTGGAACCTCTTATGGGATTCTTAGATTTTTCTGCCTTGGGGCACAGGAAAATAGTCTTTCGCATGTGGCAGGGTAACCTTATGCCCAGGGAGGTCGCGTGAACCTGGACGGTTTCAGTCTGTCCCGCTCCCCTCCCCATCACACATACAGTGGCACCTGTGTGCTCACCACCGACAGGCAGCCACATCCGCACACAGTCACGGCCCTCAAGGTGCAGTGCGAGGCTTCAGGTGGCAGAGGGCACACCTCTGACAGCTCTGACCGTTTATTTATTCATTTATTGAGATGCAGTTTCACTCTTGTTGCCCAGGCTGTAGTGTAGTGGTGCGATCTCAGCTCACTGCAATCTTTGCCTCCCAGGTTCAAGCAATTCTCCCACCTCAGCCTCCTGAATAGCTGGGATTACAGACGCCCACCACCACGCCTGGCTATTTATTTGTTATCATTATTATTATTTTGTAATTTTATTAGAGACGGGGTTTCACCATGTTGGCCAGGCTGGTCTCGAACTCCTGACCTCAGGTGATCCGCCCGCCTCTGCCTCCCAAAGTGCTGGGATTACACAGGCTTGAGCCACCCCACTGGGCCTAGCTCTGACGTTTAAACACCAAGTGGTTGCCATCACACCAGTAAGGTAGCGACGGCTTCTGTATCTCGATACCCACCGCCTGCTGCCTCCTCTCCAGCACGTATTTGGGGGACGTTGTGTCTACCGTGGGTGGAACAGGAGCCCACACCACTCTCCATTTTTCCCACTGCCACGTTATGTAACTAACATGACCCATTAGCAGTACTGCAATTGCAGATTTGGGGGCCACAGGAAACATCAGCCAGAGCGTCACAGAAGGGCAAACCGCAGGCAAGAAGTCCCATGGGGGGTGGGCTCCCCGCAGCCGGGTCAGCAGCACGGAGCACCCGCCCTGAGTGGACATCGCCTGCTTCGCCTGCACCCGACCCTGCACCCAGGTCTGTGTTCGCTTCTGCCGGCCGCAGCGCCATCCAGGCCTCCGCCGTCCCCTTCCTGCCACGGGCAGAGTTGCAGATGGGGAAACAGGCTGCGTTTGTGCCTCGCCTTCCTGACTTGTGACAATGACAAACAGTCTCAGCTGTGGGAGTCTGGGTTTCCCGTCGACGGAGGGAGAGTTAGAACAGTCGCCGCCTCAGGGGTGCGTGGGGGAACCGGAGGGGTGAGCGCAGCGCCTGGCATCACCGAGCCTCCCGCAAGGCGCTGAGGTGTTGAGGATGATAAACCCGGACCACCCTGCCCGCCTCCTCTCTGCCGGGTCCGCTGCCCACGCCGTCCGCGCGGCCCCGCAAAGACCTGCGGTCGCGGAGTTCACGCCGTCAACCCTGCGCACCTGTCGCGTCTCAGGTGCGCTGCGGGCCGCATCTACACCACCGGACTCCGCCTGGGACGTAAGAGGTGGCGGGGGCGAGGGCCGCGGGGTCATTAGGCTCAGGCGGAGGCCTTTAGTTCCGGTCGCTGCGCAAATGAAAAGCGGTTAAGTGGCGGCAAATCGCGGCAGTTACGGGTAGATGGCCGGGTGCGCCCTCATCTCCACCTAACACGGCGACGCCCCAACACTGGTGCTCGAAAGGGAACTCTACCCCTCTGCATCATTTCAACCCCGCAGCAGAGAACTCGCCGCCCTTTCTCCTCTCGCATCCCCATCCCCCGCTCCGCGAACACCGCGGGCCTCCCCGGGCCTCCCCAGGCCTCCTCCAAGAACTTTGCGCCCCGGGTCTCCCATCGCGCTTACCCAGCTCGGGCCGGCCACGCGTTTCCGCAGGTACCGAGTGTCCCGCCGGGCGCCGGGGCCAGGAGAGAGAAAGACCCGCAGGTGCAGACGGAGAGGGAGGGAGAGAAGGGGAGATGGAGAGAGAGGGAGGAGTCGAGAGACAAAACCGGAGAGTGGGGAGGGAGAGACCGGGAGCGGGAGAAACAGACCGAGAGGAGAGAAAAAGAAGCTCAGAGAGGAACAGAGATGAAGGAGAGACGAAAAGAGAGGCAGAGAGACCAAAAAAAAAAAAAAAAAAAAAAAAAGAGATGGGGGGGAGAGAAACTCTGGGTGCTGGAGGCTGCCTCTGTGCCCCGAGCTCCCACAGCCTCCCTTCCTTCCCCATCCGGTAGGACTGGGTAGAGGGGAATGGATGGTTTGTTTGTTTCACTAAAGCACGCAAGAAATCCCACCGCAGACCTCGGAGTCTCGGCCCCACTACCTGTTCTGCGTGCCTCAGTTTACCCATCTGTAAAATGTGCGTGTGATGGGCCGAATTCTGGGTCTGACACTGGCAGATTCTGGACCCCTGTCGTCTAGGAGTCCTGCAGTCCCCAAGTCCATTCCCATGGGGCTGGGAGCCTCACCCCACCCCCACCCCAAGGTCCTCCGAGTCCCTCACTTCGGAGCTGCCTCCTGGTCGAAGCCCTCCCCTGGCGCCGTCTCCAGCAGTAATTATGGGAGAGGGGCTGGGGGAGGGGCGGGCGGGCTCCTCGGCGGGGGTGGGGGCGGTCGATGAATTCGAATTACCGTCTCTAATTCATCACCGTCGCTGGGTCGATAGCTTCGTCCGTCTTCAAATATTGTTTAAATTGCAACTCCAGAGGAAAAGTATTTTTTGTAACTGATCAGAAAAAAAATATGTATATAGATAATACAAAGTTAGATGGAGGTGGTTGAAAGAAGGGCCTCATCTCCTCCTTGGGCACCATGGGGAGGCAGGAGCCCAGAATCCCTGAGGGATGGTGGAGCCCAGCATGGGGGAAACTGAGGCAGGGAGGACCCCAACCCCTCCCCGCAGGTGGATGGGATGCTTTGCCCTTAAGCAGGACAAATTGTCCTAGGGACAAAAACCAGAGCTGTGTATGGAGTTGCACGCTGAGGACACCTGGTGCAGGAACTGGGCACCTCTGCTTGGTGGTGGGTGAGCAGGGGAGATGCCAGGGACTGGGCACCTAAGGGGATGGACATGGAAAGGAAAAAGAGGCAGAACCTCTTCCCCACCAGGGCTCATGCGGGCCCTCCCTCCCCCACTTCTCCCCGCTACCCGCTGCCACTGTCAAGGGCTGTGGTTGAAATGGGAGAGGCAATCCGGGAATCCCCTTCAAAGGGACAGGTGTCCACCCCTCCACAAGCACTCTGGACACCCCCACCCAAACTCTAGATGAAGGGGAGGGATGAGAGGGAAAAGGAGAAGGAGGAGGAGGAGGAGAGGGAAAGGAGGGAAGGAAGGGGAAGAGGGGAGGGAGGTAAAGACCCCTGTGCCTTTTGCGAAAACCCCACTTTCCACTGCAAGGGGTCCACGCCTCTTACCAACACCCCCAGAAAAAGATGCCCTGCCCCATTAGACAGTAGAGATAACCAAGTTTGGGAGCTTGGAGACCCGGGCCTCCCCCGGGCTCTGTCCCTGGCTGATCCCTGGCAAAAGGGCTTGAGCCTCAGTTTTCTTATCTGAGAAATGGGCAGAATGAAATGATGCCTAGGAGAGGGGGTATGAGGTGCCAGAGGGGCTCAGGGGTCTGAAGGGGACACCGTAGGTTTCCACAGGGATGTACGGAGTGGGGATAGACCCATACTGTGCCCAGGGCCA